CTAAAAATCAAATTAATAAAAACTCATAAAAATGCGATGTGTCATGTTTTCCTTTTTTTATTGTCTTGTCAAGCAAGAGGGTTTCAAGAAGGGTTGGAAGCAGACTTTAGACAGAAAAACATACAGTACATATATATATATATATATAGTTAGACAACGCACTGAAATTGGTTATTTCATTTAAAATCTCATTAAATGGTATTATTTACATAGATTTATTTGAATTTGCCTTTTGACCACACATTTTTTTAACTGCCTTTTATGACGAACACTGACTATATAAGTATAATCAATTATACAACAGTTTCAACAGACTCGGTAGCCAACCATAAACATATAGATTTCACATATTAACTGTAGACCTTTATATTTTCTCAAGTTTTATTCCATATTCAACACTAAACATGCAGCTCGAAACGTGGACACTCTTCAGCTTGTAATTCACAGTTTCATCCACAACAGGCGGCCCTTCTCATTCAGGTTGGTGTCACAGAAAAAGCATATATGAAAAACATCTAATCCCTCCATTACAGCCTTTTTTAAATCTGCTGTCACTAATAAATCTTATAGTATTTTGCAGCAGTTGTGATGGATGGAGTGGATTTGGAAGGACAGTTTAGCTTTGTGAGTGTCTCTGAATTTACCTCAACAATAGTCTTCCTTCAATCCACCAAACCCACGCAGGCCGATGTGCTCCAACACGTTGAAATAATCCTCCATTCTGCACTTTCCCCCTGTCTGACATCTACCACGACTATCTGCATGACATGACCCTGATTCTGCTGTCACTCCTCTGTAAACTTACAAAACATGAGAAGCATATTCTAACTAACTTAAAACATATTTTCACACTGTTGATGTGTTTTATTGTGCAGAAAGTAATATGATCTCTTACACTGAGGACATAAGGCGTCTGAGAGTTTCCCTGTCCTGGAGCGAGCTGCAGGAAGCTATTTAAATGTGAGGTGGTGTAACAACAGAAATGAACCAACAAGAAGAATGACATGACTCAATCCCAGCTCTGAATAGACGCTTTGTTTTTCTTTTCACAAGAAAATGCAATCATACTGTTTGCTAACTGAGATATACACTGACCTGGAAACTGACAAGTGAAATAAAGTCAGAAAACGTTCATGGTAACTATCCATGGTCTAGATGTCGTTTACCTTATTAACCTTGCAAATGCAACGACTTTTTAACTAACTTTTAATTGTTTAAAAAAAAATGAGGGTTCTTTAAAACTCTGAGCCAGACAGCTCCAGTTGAGTTTTATTTCTATCTATATTCTGAAGGTTTTTACAGAAAAGCATGCAAATTAGCACACATATTAATGAGACACTGTTTATTTTTAATAAACAATCAGTTTCAGATAACTTGTAATAAAAAATATAAATGTAGGAAATCAACAGAAATTCTTTCATGGTTGTATCTACTAGTTTTTGTTATGTTTACCCTGTTGCCTCTCCCCCAAAACTATTCCTCCTCTTCGTACAAAGTTCAAATTAAAATATTATGTTATTATCTCAATAACCAAAATGTTGTATTTCAGTATAATGTAGCTACCTGTCTGTTATATTGTAAACCTTTTATTTTAACAAGTTTGTTTTGATATCTCCCTGGAACCAAGAGTTGCATCAGTGCTTTGAATGAAGGGACAATAATAAGGTGTATGTACAGGGCCGTCCCTGGCCAACTGGTGGGGTCTCGCAGCGGCGACACCACACTATTGCGCCGCATACGCGCATAGGTGCCTGACGGGAGGGACGGCCCTGTATATGTATATATACCAGAGGTGGGAGTAAGTCCTACATGTGGAAGTCATGAGCAAGTCTCAAGTCTTGACCTACAACTATCAAGCAAGTCCCAAGTCACTGTGGTGAGAGTCAAGCAAGTCAAGTCAAGTCATTGCTCAGGTCAAGCAAGTCAAGTCAAGTCATACGAAATTCTGATGAATAAGCCCAGTTTCCGCATTTAAATCAGTTAAAAGACAGTGGTTATGAAAATGGATTCAACCCACACTATGATCTTCATTACATACACAGTTAATCATTTGAAATCTAATTTAGACCGATGACAATCATATTAGATTCATATTAACCCTAGAGCTGTAGACAATATAGCTAGGACTCAAAAGTCTGTTCAAAAAGGCAGAATTCCAGGTAAGAAAATCATATATGGCATTTGCCATTACACATATTCAATTTACATTTTTGTTAACACTAGAACCGCCAACAGAGTCAGCACCTACATAGATATCATTTTCAAAACATTTAATTTGTTACTCTTCATAATTTCCTTATAAACTAAGCAGGACGATTTAAAACTCACTTAATTGGGTTAATTTAGAGATGGCTTCAGTTTATCATAATAACAGATCAAAAAGTTCAGATTCATTTTACAATAAATCAAGGAATGATGCACTTCTACAAACAAAAACAACATAATTAAAACATTTAAACAAACTACTAAAAGTAGATGAACTACATTATTCAAAAGTTTCCAGTAACTTAACGAGGCATCTCTTTTCCTCTCTCTCTCTCTCTCCTGACAGCCCTTCAGTATCAGGGTTAGTCAAAAATGAATCCCTTGGCGGTTCTAGTGTTCATTTACCCCGTTTTGTCTTCTCTTTGCTTAATCGATTTGAAACCAAGTCTAACGTAGCTTAAACTTAACGTTAGCTTTCTAGCTAACACAACACAGTCACGTAGCCTACCTTTCTCTGTGGGTTTTTTTTGTAGTGACGAATGAAGTTGGATGTTGTGGTGGTCCTGTCACTGATCTTTATGCTGCAGACCCTGCATACCGCTCTTCTCTTCTTATTAGCGTCATCGACAAAAAAAAGCTAGCCGCTGCCATGTTAACTGACACTCCTGCCGTCTAGTGGGTTGCCAGGTTTGTGCGCATGGCGTTATAATCACGTTTTTCGAAAAAACTAAACGTAATATCCCACTACAAAAACAAACGCAAATATTTAATTTCAACAGTCAAGTCCTTTCAAGTCATCTGTCTCAAGCTTAAGTCAAGTTTCAAGCCATGAATACCAAGTCAAAGTCAAGTCAAGTCTTGTATCAATGTTAGTCAAGCAAGTCTCAAGTAAAAAAATATGCGACTCGAGTCAAGTCATGCGACTCGAGTCTGACTCGAGTCAAGTCATGCGACTCGAGTCCCCACCTCTGATATATACTGAGGTATTTCATTGCCTAAAGTCATACAACACAGTGTAGGCCTATACACACCTTGTAACACTCACTGTGTGAGTCCTTGCTCAGTTTCATTCATGCTGTAACATGCTGCGGCAACATTTCTATATCAGCTCATCTAGATGTGTGACAGATTTGAAACAGCAGGAGGAGGACGGGGCTGTGGGTAATGACGGGGTTTGAAAAGAAACTTTACACCACGGAGGAAACAACAATAGAGCACGCCTCCCTCCACCGCTCTGCTCTTTCTGGAGATCTGAGTCTTACTCTGATTCCTCTCTATGACCATATATGGTAGGAAATTAAACCAAAAGCTCATTGGTGGAACAGAGACAACATGCAGATAGACATTTTGCACTTGTTTGGGTCATGTTGTGTTTTGTTGACAAGAAAATATAATTGACTATGAAACTTGTTTTTTACAGATGCAATAGCAGAAGTACATCAGTGTAAGGCATTGTATTCCCATGCTTGGATTAACATTAACCTACTGACTATCCTCTAAAACATTTAAAAACAGTTATTAGGAATAATGCTTTAATTTCGTTTTGGCTTCATTGTTCCTTGTCTCTACAGACAGTTTTGTGTAAAATGTCCCCCTCAGACACATATAGGCAGGGCCCCACCCCTGCTCCTGTTGCAGGTACAGACGAGGCTCTGCATTCCTAACACCACACACACACACACACACACACACACACACACACACACACACACACACACACACACACACACACACACACACACACACACACACAGAGAGAGAGACAGCTAATCAATGACTCTTATCTCAACTAATAAACACTTTACCTACTCTTATTTTAATCCTCTAGAAAAGGTGGCTTTTCTTTTTCATAAGGATTCCAGGAAAAATTTTGAAAGTATAAATGTATAAAACTGTTTATATGTTCATTTAAAAATGGTGCTGCAGCTTATTGCCTTGTTTAAGTGAAGCAATTTGTTTAGTTAATTAAATGAATAACTGCAAGTTCCTGAAGCTCGAGTTGAATTTCAGACTGCTTGTTTTCAACAGCCAAACTTGACAGGACATGAGGAGCCGGATATAGGCCTACAGGGGATGTTTGAAGATGTTTGATGTTTTGTTGTCATGAAACACAGGGGATTAATAAAGTACTTTGGTTCTGATTGATTCTGACTTTTGTGTCTTTTGATTGACTTACCAACTAGTTGGCCAGTTGTTTCAGATGAAATAATGAATTTATATATTTTTCCATGGGTTATTGTTGACAGCACACTGTTTATCCTCAGTATAAAAAATATCATAAAATAACCATGTGCTGATTTAGTACAGGATCTGACATGTTTTCTAAGTGACACTTAATTTGTCATGTTAACATGTCAACAGCTTATCTATTGCAGTATGTTAACCAACTAAGTAATTCCCAACTCGCTTAATCAGAATCTGAAATTAGTTTATTGCCAGGTTCGTTTACACATACATGTGTAAATAAATTGTAAGAGAAGGTAAACAAAATAAAGATTATAGAAGGAAGATGTAAAAATAAACTGCGATTTAATATAAAAAATAATAAAGACAAGTATTTACACCAAATTTAAATATAGCCTACAAAAGTAACCAAAAATAACTTTGTACAATGAGTATGTCATGTCGTTTTAACTTTAAAGAAGAATATGAGCCAAGAAAACCACACACTCCTAGTTAAGGGTCTTCTTTTTTACATTTGTGCGGAGCTCTTGAACGCAACACGGGGGAGGCGGGGTTTTTGGTTTTACCTGCGGAAGCTGCAGCAGGGCGGATTAAAGGTTCCCCCCCCAGAGAGCCACGCCTGAGCAGCAGCTGGGCCGCAGGACAGACGCAGAGACAGAAGAGGCTCGCGGTTCAAAGGAGAGAGAGTCGCTGCTGCTGAACACGGACACACACACACACCGAGCTCACCTACCGTGCCTGCAGCTGAAAACCAGGTGTGTTTCTTTATTGTTTTTATACAGAGCTGCTGCTGGGTGTAATTACTTTGTGAATAGACATTGTTGTGTTTAGTGTAGAAAAGTTTTCAGAAAAGTTTCATAAATCAGGGGGAGAAATGTGTTTGTTTTGCTGAAGATAACCAGGTGATCTCATCAGCAGACACAGAGGGGTCCTTTAAACAAACGCGTGTTAAATGATCAACGCATTGTCTCTGAATATTGATTTACTTGTCTTTTACATTGTTCATTTGATGAGTCTTGTGACATAAACTTAGATATAGCAGCTAACAGTCACTTCTCTTGCACACAGGACAAACGCCCACATGCATAACCAGTAGTATCAACCAGTTATATTTGCACAAGGAGCATGTATATCAAGACTGCTTCCAACTCAAACAGGTTAATTGAAATGTAAATTCAAAATTAAATATATACTGTTATTTTCAGTTGTGTGGTCACGCAACTTGAGTCTTACATTTGAAGAGTGTGTTGCATGTTTCCTCTTTACCAGGAAATATGAATATGCACAGTCACTCAAACAGCAGAACTATAGAAAACATGTGGTGAAAACATATTTTCTCCTCAACAATGCAGACTTCATTTCTGTCCCTTATCTAGTTTGGATCCTGCAGTGTACTTTTGTTCTTGTTGTTTGTCATGTGGTTTGAAGGAGATGATCTATCCTATTCTTTTTATAAAACAAGCTGCACATACCCTGCTGCTGCGTGTCTACCCTCAGGGTACAGAATTGACATGCAGTCACAAAAGAGGACCTGTGCTGAAGAAGATAAGACTGCTTCAGCTGTGTCATATTTCTACACTTCACGTGTGAAGAATAGTGTTAGTCTTCCTCTTTTGTTTCAGCCCGGAAATGAACCACGTCTGCCACATCTGCAGCAGCCTGCCTTATCCTGTTTTTACACACTAAGTCAAATACAGACATCTTGTTACGCTGATTCTTAAACACTATATTCACATGTTTGACATCTTCAGGTTGCTCAGAGCAGCTATCTACCCCCTAAACCGTAACATTTAAGAACGACCTCTCATTCATTCCCCTCATGACTAATAACTAACCTAACATAGTCAAACTGTTATCAGGCCCTCGGCTCGACAGCAGCCGGCTGCAGATGGTCGGGCCTGGGCTCCCTTTTGGGTCAGAGCCATGGAAGCCCGGATAAAGCAGGGATTGACTGACAGCCAAGGGCAGGGAGAGCAGGAAGAGACAGGAGATGCTGTTGAAAACGAGCACGATAAGAGCAAAGAACACAGATTAAACATGTTCATGCAGACAAGAAGAGTTGTAAGGCCAATAAGGTGACTCCAGTTTCCAGACATGGTTAAAGAGTCTTTACATTAAATCCTTGTGGGAAAAGCCTTCCTGTAAGACTTAAGTCCTGAGGTCAGGCATGAGTTCACTACTCTATATTTGAAGGGCAGGAATCGACACAGAAGAGTGGACATGCAGATTAAAGGCGTTCGTCTTGTCATTTTGAACCACGGTGTGTCACAATGTGCGGAGGCATAGAGTGAGCAACTTCCTGAGGAAGTTAAGCCATGGAGAGCGTTTACCAGCGACCACAAACATGTGAATGTCACAAGCTCTCGGTGTGGCCTTCGTGTTTTGTGGTATCAGCCTGATGGTGCTTTCAGGACCTTGTATATTTACTGTTTATTTGTCTCTCTAAGCTGAATGATAAAAACAGAAGCAATATATCTGTGTTCCTCTTCCTCCTCCCCCCCCGCAGAGAGTCTGAGCTCATAATGAACTTAAGAGAGACACAGATGACACCTTGTGCACTGATCCCTTTATCCCTCACTCTACACACACACAACTACGCATTCACACACACAACTACACATTCAGCGTTTCCTCTACCTATGAGGAGGACGCTGCTCTAAAGTGCTGCAGCAGAAACATTCATATTTTAACCTTTTGTGAGTATCTGTATAGATAATATCACATTTGATTCAGAGGAGGACAGTATTTGCTTGGTTTTAATTCAGTCATTGTATGTGTTGGACTTGATTGAATCACCTGATACTGAATTCAGTATCAGGTGATTCAATCAAGTCCAACCCAATGGAGGAGGGGTTGTTAGAAGACTGTGCTAAAGGGCCAAACTAGGCACTTTGAGTTAATCTCAGGGTATAAAACAATGTCATATTATCTTCAAGTTGTTCTCGCTTTTAATGTCTACTGTTTCATATCCATGAATGAGCATAGTTATTTGTAGGAACCTCTTGAAATGAGATGATTCATCACTAGTGGATTATTCTGTAAACAATACGTTTGTTTGTCAAATTAGTGAAAGCATAACGAAGGTGGTGAAATTCATCTTTTGAGGCTATTTGTCCTTTTTATGGTGAGTCTTCTCCAGGGTGTGGTCGGGGAGTAATGACATTTCTCTTTCTGCCCAGACTTGTTTCCCACATTCCTCCCTGCCTCTCGGGCTGCAAAGCATCCCTCCTCTGACCTTCTCCTACAACTCAGACTGTTGGAGGCTTTTAATGATCCGTGCCATTCCCACTGTCCTGAAGCCCCATATTAAATAACTGCTCATTTATCACCTGTGGTGGGTATTGCCTTTTAAAAGAGGGTTGTGGAAAATGAGGAGTGGGAGAAGGAATCGGGAATTTGTGGAATTCTGTCTAATGAGTTGGTGAGGAAGGAATTTGGGTCAGATTGGGAATAAATGGCAGACAGGTAGAAGTGTGGGACCTGTCGTACTGTAGATCTCAGGTGAAACGTGTTTAATTGTTTAGTCTGACTGTGTGGAGCCTCAGGTCATGAATAAACTGGGATAGACAGTAATTAAGCATGAAGGGATTTTTCCTCTTTATCTTAAGTAACATGACATTTGAAGTGCTTATGTTACAGTTTCAGGCATCAGACCCCATTTGTTTTTTGCACTAGGTTCATTACTTGTAGGTAAAGTGGTTGCATTCCTTATAATGATAATGAAATTACAGTGAAATCTGAAACGACAGCAGCTGTGGTGAAATGTGCCCAAACCTGTCCTCCTGTAACCTCCTGACAAAGGAGTATATTTCATCATCTTGAGAGTTTGTCAGTTCACAAACATCTGTTAAATATTTACGTGAAAAGCTATAGCTAAATGTCAAAACAAAAAATCCTTATTTGAACTTAACACTTCTCATCACACATGTCTTGAGCAGTGGCTTTGATCGCATGATGAGCAGCAATAAGTAAAACAAATATATGAAAAGAGATGACATGCAACAAGGCCTGACTATAATCCTGATGCTGAGCAAATATAGGAAGAATAATAATGGTACACAAGACTGAGTTATGTCCCTTTCAGTTTATCATGATGATTTAGAACCATTTGTGGCATTGGCACCATCAAACTTCAAAGCTTTTCAAATGCTCCTTAAATTATATTGGAAACCAATGACTGCAAATGAATACATCAAAAACTATAGATTAACTTCACTCTGTTCCTTCTAACACATAAAGTGACAAATCCGGAATCTGGGATCAATATTTTTTTTAGCCTTCTAAGTTTATTTCATGGGTATCTGTTTCCTGTGTTTTGGGGATCCGGGTTGATTGGGATGGGATTAGTGTAATGTTTTTAAAGATCCACAAATGAATACTGTACAAAAAAATATGATCCTCTTTCACATCAAAATATTTTCTTCTCGGTTAAGCTGTTAGCAATAAACTTATAATGTTCTCTTGCTCTGTCCTGAAGCCACAATGACGGACTCAGACAAGTTCCTGTATGGGGACCGCAACACGACGGGGAACCCCATGGCCCAGGCCGACTGGGCCACCAAGAAGCTGGTGTGGGTGCCCTCGGAGAGGCTGGGCTTCGAGGCCGGCTCCCTGAAGGAGGAGCAGGGAGAGGAGTGTGTGGTGGAGCTGACGGACTCTGGCAAGAAGGTGAATTCCTTTTAAAGTAATGCTGTCTTTGAAGGTGTAATCTGTAACATTTAAGCTTTACAATGTGTACAATTTACTAGAATTGATGGTTTATATGCATTATTTTGTTAGTTTATTTTAGTTTCTTTACCTTATCCTGTATATATTTGAAAGTTGATGACTTTCAGATGCTTTTCCTCAAAGTCTTGTCCAGGACAGTCTTCTGACAGGTGTCCCGTCTCTGTTCATTTCAGGTGAAGGTCAACAAGGACGACATTCAGAAGATGAACCCTCCCAAGTTCAACAAGGTGGAGGACATGGCGGAGCTCACCTGCCTGAACGAAGCCTCCGTGCTGCACAACCTCAAGGAGAGATATTACTCTGGACTCATCTATGTGAGTTCTGGTGGATGAATGTGTATTATCTCATGTTACAGATGAGTTTTCCTCTCTCACACACTAACTGTCCTCTCTGTTCCCAGACGTACTCCGGTCTCTTCTGTGTGGTGGTCAACCCGTACAAGAACCTGCCCATCTACTCTGAGGACATTGTGAACATGTACAAGGGCAAGAAGAGGCACGAGATGCCCCCCCACATCTACGCCATCACAGACACAGCCTACAGGAGCATGATGCAGGGTAACACAGCTATGTTTGTTAAGAAAGATATACATGGAGCCTCTTGAAATTGACATTTTTTGGCTATCAGAAAATTGTGAATAATGCTCCTATAGTGTGTCTAAATGTAACAATTCACTGGGGCATTCAAGGACAAAAAAGTCTCCAGTAAAACCACAGTTTTCACAATTTTACCCCATTTTATGTTTGCCCTATAGGACTAATGCAAAAAATACTGAATGCATCAAAATCAATGTTAATACTCATCATTCACTGTGAACATCTTTATTATTTAAATGTAACATATAGGTTGTTCTCTAAAGCTGCCTGTGTTTGGCCTGTCAACGTTTTTCATCTGATTTTTCCTCTTCCTCTCAGATCGTGAGGACCAGTCCATCCTCTGCACGTGAGTTAATCTTTCCTCTTTGTATCTTACTATTTTTGAAGCAGCGTTAACCTTTTTTTCCTTGGAGAGCACCGTGACAGATTTACACAGACCATGTCTAGTGTGTGTAGGATTAAGCTTAAACCTTAAATTGAGTGTAATTAAGCTACGCATTTCACAACAAAGCAATGCCAAATCTAGCTTTATGTCGATAAAGTCCACGGAAGTATTATATCAACAGATAGTTTGCAAGGTTATCAAGGGAATTGCAGATTTTTCCATTCATTTATCATACCTTTTATGCTTGTGTTTTGTAATGCCTTAGGGTCATGATTTCCAGTATTTTAACCTCTCTAATTGATGCGTCTAAATCTTTGTATGTATGTTTTTCTGCAGTGGGGAATCAGGAGCAGGAAAAACTGAAAACACCAAGAAAGTCATCCAGTATCTCGCCCATGTTGCCTCATCTTTCAAGTCCAAGAAAGAGCAGGTCAGTAAAAACTACTGCCTCTGGTTTTCCTTCCTTTCTTTTTTTCATCACCTCCTTTTCTCCTGATTCTCTCCTTATGGTTGACCAAAGATTTGGAAAGATCACGGATGGAAACCCCCTTTTATTTCTCCTCTCCTCCTTCCTGCCTCCTTTCCCCCTGATCTCCATATTAGTCTACCTGCACAAGCTGCACATTCCTCCTTCAGGCCGCGACGTGCCAGACTCACCTCTGAGTTAAAGTCATGCAGAACGCAGATCTGTGTATTTGTACTTGATATCTCTGTTTCACACGTTTTTACAAGAAATGTCTGATAAATAACTTCCGTATGATTCTTCAGGTGACTCGAGGTTTGCAGTTATGTTATTTTTGTGCTCAATGCAAATGTTTGAAACTTCCCTTTTTCACCTTTTCTCCAGGGCAATGCAGTTTTGTCACATGTGAGTTCATCTCCGACTATTTATGTACAACATGCTACTTTACTAACCAGGAGCGTTTTTGCTGTCTTTGTCTGGGTTTTGAAGGATATACATTCAAATGTTACTGAAATGCAACCTCTGTCTTTAAAAGTATTGTTTTAGATTTGTATTTAAAACATGCCAACTTCTTCTCTTACATAGAGTTAGAAAACTGGTCGATATCACTCACTTGCACATTGATTGTACATTGAATGTGAAGCTAGTGTCTGCAGATTGTTAGCTTAGCTTAACATGAAGCGAGGAAAAAAACAAGACCATTAAAACATAACTTGACATTTAACACACTGTAACGTTATCTCGCAGAAGCAGGCCAGCAAATATCTCCTGTTTTATGTCGCAAAGCTAACTTGCTTCTAGCCTTAGCCCTATAGTTGGCTTACATTCATTATGCAAAGCTAACTTGCTGCTAGTTATCCGTATAGTTAGCTTACATGAAAGAAAGGGACATCACTCGTCAAATTCTTGGCAAGAAGGCACATAAGTGGATTTCCACAACACCTTTATTAGGTGATTGTACTTACCCAGCAGCTATTGAATATAATCAATCTGGTCAGTCTTGATTTTGTTATTGTTATGTACATTGTTTTGGGATGAAACTGTTGACTCTTGCATTTCCTTTGGGGGATCTTTGCTAACTGGCGTGTGTGCTTCCTGTGTTTTCTTGTTTGTGCCTGCATGGACAGGTTTGAGTGCTTGAGTGGGCTTGCTGGTATGTGTGTTGGAATGTGCAGGATTCAGTATTTGTGTGTGCGCGGTTCATTGTGCAATGATTATATCCCTTCAGGTCACTCTTTTGTATATGCAGCCTGAAATAATTGTTTTAAAAGATGAGTGATTGCACAGATCTAATGTTTGTATTTTCCAATGACAAATCTGCACCGCTGCAAGAAAGAGCATGAAGTAAAGCTGTGCTTGCCTGACTGACTTGCAGCTTAAAGCCATGAAAAAGTGTTGTATTGTAGTTTAAAGTTTCTTATACCTGTCCTCTCCGTCAGGGGGAACTGGAGAAACAGCTGCTGCAAGCTAACCCAATCCTGGAGGCCTTCGGAAACGCAAAGACCGTCAAGAACGACAACTCCTCACGATTTGTAAGAGAGATACTTGAACAACCGAAATGTTGCTTTCTTTCTAAATGATAAACTAAAGGTGGAATAAACATCTTAGGTATCAGTGCATGTTAAACACCCCCACTCTGCCCACATTAAACGAGGGAGAAGATCACAGAGAAAAGCACAAATAACTCTTTAATATGAAATAACCAAACGTTGTATATCTTCAGCAAGTTCATTTGGGTTCAACAATTTTTGACAAGTTCTTTTAGACCTTTTTTGTTTTTGTTTTAAATATTCTTTACATTCAAGCTTAAAACATCAATCAAAGTTTTAGCTCTTCATATCCAAATGATTTGACTTCTTCTCTTGCAGGGAAAATTCATCAGAATCAACTTTGACGTCAACGGATACATCGTTGGAGCCAACATCGAAACTTGCATCCTTTTATAAAAATGTTTATTAGCTTCTCAACTGTTGTACAAACAGCTGGATTCACCTGCTTTTTGGCCCCAGGGGGGAAAAGTAGCCCCCCCCTAAAGAATTTTGCCACGTGTGACAGAAACCATCAGAATTTCCATCCAGCTAGTTTGTGAAATTAGTTTGAGGATATTTATAATTTAAGCCTTGTTTCAGCAAAAAAAATGTCAGTGCAAGATGCTTCTTTTCTGCTGCTTTTTTGTTTCGTCCTTGACTGAAATGTTACCAGATCTTTTGGAGAAGTCCCGAGCTATCCGACAAGCCAAAGAAGAGAGGAGCTTCCACATCTTCTACTACATGCTGACCGGAGCAGGGGACAAGCTGCGCTGTAAGACATTTTATTACAATACTTTCACAGTGAATGAAAGTAGCAAAGTAAATGTGGTTTATTGAAAGATGCACGGGACATGCTCAATAGTTCAAGAGCCCAGACAGTCCTAAAGCATTAAGAGATACAAGGGAAGTAGTCATTTAGATTAAATAGAATTGCTTTACATTTTTCAAGTGTGTACAAAATACAACTGTACTGAAAATGAACTGCCAGATCGCTCTCATCACGTAGGTTAAAATGCGTAATTCTCCAATTGCTCATTTCCCCCATCTAGCTGAGTTGTGTCTGGAGGATTACAGCAAGTACCGTTTCCTGTCCAATGGAAACATGACGATACCGGGCCAGCAGGACACCGACCTGTTCAATGAGACCATGGACGCCTTCCAGATCATGGGCATCCCAGAAGACGAAAGGATTGGTACCTATCATCGTCTTTCTTTCTGACTTCTCTAGAGGGCTTATTTCGTTTGTTGATAAAAGGTTCCATTTTGGACTTCTGGTAACAATATGGAGCTGTATTTCTAAAATTGTCACAATTTCACTCAATACGGCCCAATATAAAAAAAATACAAATTTTTCTCAGTGGGGTTTACAATTACAGAATACGACACCTTCTGTCCTTAGACCCTCTTATTGTACAAGGAAACCCTCCCAAATAAATCTCACTATTAATGGGGTAAGAAAAATGTCTGCCGAGTGTTTAACACTTAAACCATTGGTCCAAGAAATTCAGAAATATGTCAGCAAAGGCTGTAGAACTGCAAGCTATTAGACAATGCAAGATTTTAAATACTCTGCAACAAACACACAATTCTCCTTTTTGAGAAGGTGGAACAAAGAAGAACATTTGATTAATTATGTCATTGTTGCAGTTTATAATTGTTTTGCATGGGGTGAGTTTATCGATTGTGTGGTGGAACCTATTCATGTGATGTCTTGATCGCTGCAGCACACGGTGACCTCTGTTTCTGTGTGTTTGTCAGGTCTGCTGAAGATCGTGTCGGCCGTGATGCAGTTGGGGAACATGAGCTTCAAGAAGGAGCGTCACACTGATCAGGCCTCCATGCCAGACGACACTGGTACACACACCTACGCATTACCACAACCACCACCATCATCATCGTCATTTCCTGTGTGCATGCTCTATGTCTCGCTTCACTTGCTCAAAACTTCATCTCATTCAATCACCTTGTTTCACCCCCAGCTGCCCAGAAAGTGTGTCACCTGCTGAGCATCAACGTGACTGACTTCACACGAGCCATCCTGTCCCCCAGAATCAAGGTCTGCAGAGCCATCAGTACCAAAGTGTTTATTTGAAATGAATTAATATGAAACGTCAACTTTTTTTTCTTATGCAAATTTAAAGAAAGTTGACCTAATGTCTGGATATGGAGAGAATTTGACTTTTGTATCACTTCTGATTGACTTTGATGTTTGAATATTTTACAAATCTAATCTCAAATAAATGAGCATAACTTTGTCTATAAAATGTTGCAGGGATGACACATTTGTGTAGGCTAACCTCGAAGTTAGCTCTGCCCTGTGGGCCAAAAGGATATTTCCATTCGATGTTCTGTATCTGCAGAACATTTGCTCTGCAGGAAACAAAAATGTATTATACTTTCACATTTGGTTCAGCCAAATAAACACCACTTTAACTGAAAACCCATTAAAAAGTATATATATACGGGAACTAAAACTAATTTCCATTTTTCATGACTCACTACTCCATCACAGTTTTTGCAAGTTTTCCTATTTAATGAAGTACGTAGTTCTGCAGATGATTATCTCTGTACCGCAGGATGACAGTGGAGTATTTGTTTTGCAGGTTGGCAGGGACTATGTGCAGAAGGCGCAGACACAGGAGCAGGCTGAGTTTGCCATCGAGGCTCTGGCCAAAGCCTCTTACGAGAGGATGTTCCGCTGGCTGGTGATGAGGATCAATAAGGCGCTGGACAAGACAAAGAGACAGGGAGCCTCCTTTATCGGCATCCTGGATATTGCTGGATTTGAGATCTTTGAGGTGAGGCATTCAATGCTTGACAGATTAATAGTTGTGCAGCTCTAGTTGTGTGATCAGACCGAACACAACTCTGATGCAATTGTGTCAGCGTTACAGCAGTCTGGTTAATGCTGCATTTATTTATATTATATATATATATATACATACACACACACACACACACACACACACACACACACACACACACACACACACACACACACACACACACACACACACACACACACACAGGGCAAACCAGACAAAGAAGTCTGCAACATAGTCACTTCCCGGAAAGAACGCCGGTTTCATTTCCTGTGGTTGACTAATGGTTGCTCTAATTCTCTCCTTAAAGTTGAACTCATTCGAGCAGATGTGCATCAACTACACCAACGAGAAACTGCAGCAGCTCTTCAACCACACCATGTTCATCCTGGAGCAGGAGGAGTACCAGAGGGAGGGCATCGAGTGGAGCTTCATCGACTTCGGCCTCGACCTGCAGCCCTGCATCGACCTCATCGAGAAACCTGTAAGACATCCCCCAGTTATTATCATTCCTCCTCAAGACTCATTTATAACACAGACGGCACTTGTCTTAACCTGAAGTATTACTCACAAGCGTTCTTCTGCAGAAGTCACTGGCTGTAGTAAATATAAAAAACAGTTGTACAACACGAGCTGAGGCACGTTGACCGTACAAAAATGAATAAACAAGCTTGTTTCTTTTGAACTGCAGGCTGACTTTCATTTGTTTTTTCCTCCGTGCATCACAGGCCGGTCCTCCAGGCATCCTGGCTCTGCTGGATGAAGAGTGCTGGTTCCCCAAAGCCACGGACAAGAGCTTCGTGGAGAAGGTCATTCAGGAGCAGGGGACGCACCCCAAGTTCCAGAGAGCCAAGAAACTCAAGGAGGATGCAGATTTCTCCATCATGCACTATGCTGGAAAGGTCAATAATGAACCTTGTTTGTCTTAAAATAGTTGTGCTAATGAAGAATGACGTTTTCACAAGTGGTTTATTATTATAGCATATTTTGATAAATGCATGAACAAGATGGTAGGATTTTGATATTCTAATCAATGGAAGGGGAAATATTTGTTTTTCTTTATTTTATTTTTGGTTATTATAAGTTGTATTGATCTATAAGATGGAACCATATTTTAGCAACAAATTGCAACTTAAGATTGATCAAATAAAGGATTATGATCCAACTAGTAATTACATCACCATGTAAATGTACTGGAGTAAAAACTACATTATTTTCCTCTTACATTTAGTGAACTAGAAGTATAGAGTAGCATAAAATGGAAATACTCAGGTAAACTACAAGCTGCTGAAAATGTAGTAGATAGTGAGTAGTTGCTTTCCACCACTAGAGGGCTGTGTATTTACAACATAGTCTTCTGGGTCAAATATATAAGTAGAGAACTTTGTCTTGAAGAATAACTTCTTCACCAATTACATATGTAATGCATTGAATTTGCAAATAAAATATTTGCACAATGCTTCAGAATAAAAAGGAGGTTCATTAAGTCAGGTAATAATAATAATGTTTTTTTATTAACCTTAACTTCTTGAAATAAAAGCGTCTCTCCTCTGGTGCAGGTTGACTACAAAGCAGACTCATGGCTGATGAAGAACATGGATCCTCTGAACGAGTGCGTCGCCGCTTTGTTCAACCAGTCTACAGACAAATTAACCTCAGACCTGTGGAAAGACAGTAAGTGTTGTTAATGAACTCATCCGAAATCTCATATTGCTTAGTGTAATAAGGTACTATTGGGACTGAAGTTACTGGAAATGCAAGATTAAAAAAAAGTTGTGTTTTTATGACATTTAAGGTCCATGACATGATGAAGTAAAAGTAGTCATACCATAGCGTAGAATTACAGTTTACACGTATTCATGTATGTGATAAAAAAAAAAAAACTGATTTAAGGCATGTTTCTTGGTTTTGTTTTTCTTATTTGGCTGGTAAAGAAATACGTTTGGAATTTTGAGCAAAGTTCATGTGTAGACAAACCAGGTGAATAGGTAAAAAGAGAGAAAGAAAAAAATTACACTATTGCAAGAAAACTTAATATATTCAAAATGTAACGTGTAAAAGTAAAGTAGCATAACATTGAAATACTCCGTACTGTGTACATGAGTAAACATTCTTGCTCAATTTCCCTGTGTCTTGCAGTGGACCGTATTGTGGGCCTGGATAAGGTGGCAGGGATGTCCGACTCCATGCACGGTGCGTTCAAGACCCGTAAGGGCATGTTCCGCACGGTGGGCCAGCTCTACAAGGAGCAGCTCGGTAACCTCATGGCCACGCTCAGGAACACAAACCCAAACTTCGTCCGCTGCATCATCCCCAACCACGAGAAGAAGGTACAGCACAAAGAACTATACTCGAGTACAAGTGAAGGCGCATTAAAACATTGAATTACTAATGTGCGCTGCCATTTGGACGCCTTCAAAGGAATAACTTTTAACAAAGACAAAAGTCTGAAAGATGAATGCTTGAGAACAAAAGTGTTCTGCTTCACTCGACATCTGTATTATAAACTGAACAGGTTTGTAATTATTTAATTTGATTGTTTCTCCTTCAGGCTGGTAAACTGGAGCATCACCTGGTTCTGGACCAGCTCCGGTGTAATGGAGTCCTGGAGGGGATTCGTATCTGCAGACAGGGCTTCCCCAACCGCATCGTCTTCCAGGAGTTCAGACAAAGGTTTTCAACTTCTTTTTTTCCTAGTATTTAAGAAAGATAATTAAATTCTTCAACATAATTTCCCCCCCTTTTTTACTTTCACGTTAACCTGACACACATTTACTCTATGAGTTATCCATTCTGGTCTAAACTTAAAGTTCTCAATTAGGACAGACATGAAAAGGAAAAAAAAAACATTAAGATAAAAAAACAGAGATCATTCACAGACTTGCATCCACAGGTTACTTTATCTTCCAAAGTTAGTGGTGAGATAAAAGAAATGTAAAGATTGGCACATTTTTATTCTGAAAAAATTGCTCTCCCTAATTCAAAATGTAGAAGAATTCTAATACTGTTTGAGTAATTTCTATTCTGCTGCTCTGTCTCTCAGGTATGAAATCCTCACTCCCAACGCCATCCCAAAGGGCTTTATGGACGGCAAGCAAGCCTGTGTGCTCATGGTAAGAACAAGGCATTTTTGGAAGTAAGCAGATCACATAGAAGAAGAACAAGTTTTAGGACTTGCGTAACTTCATGTTTTCCTCTCCAGATCAAATCCCTGGAGCTGGACCCCAACCTGTTCAGGGTCGGTCAGAGTAAAGTGTTCTTCAGAGCCGGGGTCCTGGCCCACCTGGAGGAGGAGCGAGACATTAAGATCACCGACGTCATCATCAGCTTCCAGGCCTGGTGCAGAGGATACGTGGCCCGCAAGTACGAAACAAATCTAACATTTAAAAAATGTTATCAAGCTACATATTTGTGTACTTTTACTCAGTTTTCGGCTTGTTTTTGCCAAATAAAATGAATACATTTAGCTTAACAGGATGAGAGAACCAGAGGTGGAAAGTAACTAAGCATTTTATTCAAGTGCTGTAATTGTACTTGAGTATTTACACTTTGTGCTACATTATACTTCTACTTTACTACATGTTGGAGGCATATGTTGTGCTTTTGACTCCAGAATGTTTATTTAAAAGCTTTAAACGTTGTAGATGAGTAATACAAATTTACAAATATACAAATAAGTGATGATATATTGGTATAGATGAATTACCCAGCAGTATCTTAATAAAAGCTTTGAATGTATCAATGATTTTAAACTAATCGTATAATATACTATTTCCTTCTCCGATGAAAGAAGTACTGTTAGACCAATTTGATGGTGATACTTTTGTACTATTTACTCTAATACAACTTTGAATGCAGGACCTCTGGTTGTAACAAAGTTTTTTATAAATATCTGACTATTTTTGGCACCGCTAAATAGACCACTAAACAAGACACAATAGCAAATATGTTATTTATTCGGTTTTGTTTTGCACTTCAGAGCCTTCGGCAGAAGACAGCAGCAGCTGTCTGCCATGAAAGTGATCCAGAGGAACTGTGCTGCTTACCTCAAACTGAGGAACTGGCAGTGGTGGAGGCTTTTCACCAAGGTAAGAGATTCATGACGTAGCTTTCATCAATGTGTCACTAAAGGTTTGAAAAGCCTCCAATAGAGGCGACTGGACACATTACTACTTATATTTTACAAAAAATGCAGTTCCTTAAAAGAAAATAATAAGAACCCTGTTGGCGTAAATGTTCAAGTTGAGCTGCAAATCCACATTTTTGCAACTCTTTGATTTTAGAGTTTTTCCATGAGTGCTATTTCATCCACTCTAGGATGGCCAAACATCATAATCTGTTTTTAATAACGTCGGGTAAATCTTCTTCCAGGTGAAGCCTCTGCTGCAGGTCTGCCGGCAGGAGGAGGAGATGCTGGCTAAAGAAGACGAGCTGGTCAAGACGAAGGAGATGCAGCTGCAAGCTCAGGAGCAGCTCAAAGATTTTGAGACCAAGCAGGATCAAGTAGGAGTCTCAAAAATAACACCAGAGTAAATTATTGGTCAATGTTAAATCTATGAAAGATGATCATTTCTCCCTTTTGACTTTGTCTCCCCCCTCGTAGCTGAACCAGGAGAAGTCGGCTCTGCAGGAGCAGCTGCAGGCGGAGACAGAGTTGTGTGCCGAGGCCGAGGAGATGAGATCCCGTCTGTCCGCCAGGAAGCAGGAGCTGGAGGAGATGCTGACTGAGATGGAGTCTCGCCTGGAGGAGGAGGAAGAGAGGGTCACCCAGATGGGTACCGAGAGGAAGAAGATGCAGCAGAACATCACGGTCAGTTCAAGTGGCATCCTTAGTAAAGTCTTAATGTAATTAAGAAAACAAATCATGAAATAACATTTAAAAACAGAAGAAAAAAGGATGGGACAAGTTTAAGATTTTAGTTTTTACTAAAGGCCCCAGAATAGTCCGGGCATTAAATCAAACCTTTGTCACTTTAATTAAAAAGGCAGGCACATATCTAAATATCCCCAAACATCAATCAGTAGCTAAATCACCATTGTGTGACTTCATTAAAACGAAACTCTTTTATTACTTATATCATACGGGTTACGGAATGTTAGATGTGATCAAATAACTGTATTGTTTTAGGATGAACATTACTAATTGTTCATGTTGTTCTTTCAGGACCTGGAGCAGCAGCTGGATGAGGAGGAAGCAGCGAGACAGAAGCTCCAGATGGAGAAGGTCACCACAGACTCTAAGCTGAAGAAGCTGGACGAGGAGATCATGATGCTGGACGACCAGAACAACAAGCTCAACAAGGTCTCCTATAACGAGTCAACTTCACACACTTTGATTCATATACGTTCCAGCTGCGCAGTGACGCTGTTTGTAGGAAAAATGCAACGTAAATAGAACGAAACCATGACATGCTCTTGTTTTTTTAAACCTCAGGAGAAGAAACAGATGGAGGAAAGAATCTCCGAGTTCACCACCAACTTGACTGAAGAGGAGGAGAAGTCCAAGAGCCTTCAGAAACTCAAGAATAAACATGAAGCCATGATCACAGATTTGGAGGGCAAGTATTTGTCTTTTCATGTGTGTTTCATAATGATTTTAACTAAGCTAAAAAGTGAAGATGCAGCCTAGCGAACCTACATGCAGCTAATGAATAATCCTTAATCAAGAAGTGGCTTTGTGGCTCACTTATCTGTTTCGGTGCTGTGAAAGATCGAGCCTGATAACAGACGTTTCACTCAAAAAACAAAAACAAATTCCCTTCTGTCCTTTTTTATCTCTACACTTGTACCTGTTGAATGTTTTTTTTTTGTTGTCCTTATTAGATAATAATTGTCTTCTCACACACAGATCGTCTAAGAAAGGAGGAGAAATCCCGTCAGGAGTTGGATAAGAACCGCCGTAAACTTGAGGGAGACTCCACCGATCTCAACGACCAGATCGCAGACCTGCAGGCTCAGCTCGCTGAACTCCGAGCTCAGTTTGCCAAGAAGGAGGAGGAACTCCTTGCTGCTCTTTCCAGGTTTTTATAATAATAACTATTAAGCAACAACAAAAAGACTGTGATGGCTTTCCTTTTGCCATAGTCTGCTTCAAATCATCAGTTTTAGATCCACTCACCGGGGATTATCTTGAAAGTGAATGTATGTTGATCTAATTTCTCCTCTTCGTCTCACCTTCAGGATCGAGGAGGAGGCCGCAGCCAAGAACTCGGCCCAGAAGAAGATCCGGGAGCTGGAGGCTCAGATTTCTGAGCTTCAGGAGGATCTGGAGCTGGAGAGGCAGGCGCGCTCCAAGGCGGAGAAACACCGCAGGGACCTGGGAGAGGAGCTGGAGGCGCTGAAGACCGAGCTGGAGGACACGTTGGACTCCACCGCAGCACAGCAGGAGCTCAGGTGAGAGTCAAGCTGCTGAAGACTTGTAGTGTAAATGAGTGTTTTGTCAGAAATAGTTAGAATGACAGATTGAAGCATTCATGTGGGAGGTCTTTTAGGGCAAATATGTTTACATTTGATTTGTATCGCCTCTGTTCTTCTCCTATGTCTTGTTTGTTTATTCCTCATTTGGTGTCTGCAGGTCCAAGCGTGAGACAGAGGTCTCCCATCTGAAGAAGAATCTGGAGGAAGAGGCCAAGATCCACGAGCAGCAGATGGCTGACACGAGACAGAAACACAACCAGGCATTTGACGAGATCAATGAACAGCTGGAGCAGGCCAAGAGGGTAAGGAGTCAGAAGAGAGTGATCCTCGATGACAAACATCTGAATAACGCCACTAACATGCGTCTTGTTTGCCGCTCCCGCAGAACAAGGTGTCGGTGGAGAAAGCCAAGCAGGCCCTGGAGAGCGAGTGGAACGAGTTGCAGATTGAGATGCAGAATCTGACTACAGGGAAGGGAGACTCTGAACACCGTCGCAAGAAAGCTGAAACCCAGGTTCAAGAACTGCAGCTCAAATTCGGAGAAAGTGAGCGACATAGGCTGGAGACGTCAGACAACACCGTCAAGCTGCAGGTACAGTGAGGACTTCTGGATAAGTACGATCAAAGGACGACCGTTTGGGAAACAATTTGATGATGGGCTTTTTATATTGAATAAGAATAAATGTTCTTTTCTTTTTTGTTTAGTCGGAGCTAGACAATGTGAACAACCTCCTGAGTGTTGCAGAGGGCAAGAACATCAAATCCAGCAAAGACTTTTCTGCTACCGAGTCTCAGCTGCAGGATACACAGGTACACACATGAATGCATACATGTTTATTTGATGTCTTACTAAAGTCTACTGGTGTCTCTCTTCCAAGCTCAAATGAAACTGAAACAAGGACTTGTTTTCGATAAGTGATGGAACAAATACTTTTTAAGTAATCTTGTCCCACGTTAGGATTTGCTGCTTTTTTTTATTATTTAAAATGTTATAAATTGAATCTCTTTGGGTTTTATTGACCAAACAATCATTGGAAAATACCATCTGCATGGTTATCTGATAACAAGTATCACTTGTTGCAGCCCTGATGTCTTACACTATAGATAACTTACAGGATACAGTTTTCTTATTTTGTTTCAAATAATTATAACATTATCACATGTTTTTAAATGCAGTGTGACACACACCTTGCACTGATATCAGTATCCCCAGTTTCCATATATTATTTTATATTTATTTAGATATCGTAGAAAAAATGATCACTTTTGAATGTTTTATTCACTGTGACTGAAAGTGATCCAGTTCCTGCACCTTCACAGTGACTCACTGTTTGTCATGCTGCAGGTTTTCTGCGTGACTGTTGATTGTGCAAATTAATCAAGATGTTAAAAAATGCAGGAGAAAAGGAAACATTACACAAGTTTAAGACTAAGCAAAAAGTTCAAAGTTTTTATAGAATTTGTTGTCCTAATGTGTTTTTGTCCTTCTCTTTCCTGCAGGAGTTGCTCCAGGAGGAGACCCGTCAGAAGCTCTCCCTCTCCACCCGCCTGAGGCAGATGGAGGACGAGCAGAACAACCTGAGGGAGATGCTGGAGGAGGAGGAAGAGAGCAAGAAGAACGTGGAGAAGCAGGTCACCTCTCTGCAGACCCAGGTCGGTGCTCTGTCCTCTGGCCTTATCATTAAACAGGGTTTTTTAGTATAACTTGAACTCATTTCATTCTTGTCCTTCTAATTCCCCCCTTTCTGTTTCCTCAGATGGCAGACCTGAAGAAGAAGCTGGACCAGGAGGTCTCCACCCTGGAGGGGGCAGAGGAGGGTCGCAAGCGAGTCCAGAGGGAGTTTGACAGCTTGACGCAGCAGCTGGAGGAGAAGAGCGCGGCCTACGACAAACTGGACAAGACAAAGACGCGTCTGCAGCAGGAGCTTGACGACATGATCGTAGACCAGGACCACCTGAGGCAGATCGTCTCCACCCTCGAGAAGAAGCAGAGGAAGTTTGACCAGGTATCATGTCAACAGTGTATTTTGTTGTATTTAATTGATTCACTAAAAACTGCTTATTTTATGGACTATTTAAGGAGAACCACATTTTAAACTGTAATTTGCTTTTATATGCAACCAAACCATAACAAAGAAACAAAGACTCTCAAATACAGAAATGTGGCTGCTGTGAATGAACAAATGTTGATTAAAAAAAAAGTTTTCAGTGTAAAGCTGACCCCAAACTGCTTTCTCCTGCTTTCTCCTTTCCCTAGATGCTGGCCGAAGAGAAAACCATTTCCACTCAGTATGCAGAGGAGCGGGACAAGGCTGAGGCCGAGGCCAGGGAGAAGGAAACACGAGCGCTGACTCTGGCCCTGGAGTTGGAGACCATGTCAAGCCTTAAAGACGACATAGAACGCACCAGTAAGCTGCTCAAAGCCGAGATGGAAGACTTGGTATCCTCAAAGGACGACGTCGGCAAGAGTGTAAGACAAAACACGGGAATCTCTTAGTGCATAGAGAGTTGGACTGGGTTAGATCCAGCATTGGTTTTGCTATAAATATCAACAACAGAATAAGTTACTTTACATTTTATTCAAGAATTTAAGATGGCATCATTGATCCTAGGAGATAATATGAGTAAATTGTTGCTTATAAATGTTACCCCTCCTCAGCAACTGGCCGATGTATGAAAATGCAACCTCTTTGTCCGCAGGTGCATGAGCTGGAGAGGTCAAAGCGTGCCACGGAGCAGCAGCTGGAGGAGATGAAAACTCAGCTGGAGGAGCTGGAGGACGAGCTGCAGGCCACAGAGGACGCCAAGCTGCGCCTGGAGGTCAACATGCAGGCCATGAAGGCCCAGTTTGACCGAGACCTGACGGCCAGAGACGAGCAGGGAGAGGAGAGGAGGAAACAGCTGGTCAAACAGGTACAGAACACAAACCCTAAACTGACCTTTCTACACAAAAGCTTTGTTTTGTTGTATTCTACAATTGTGCAAACAGTTAATTTCTAGACAATGCTGAATTATAGTTTGACTGAGCAACCTTTTATTTTCCTCTCCCTCAGGTGCGTGAGATGGAAGTCGAGCTGGAGGATGAACGTAAGCAGCGCTCTCTGGCCCTCTCGTCCAAGAAGAAGCTGGAGCTGGACCTGGGAGAGCTCGAAATCCAGATCGATGCTGCCAACAAAGGGCGTGATGAGGCCCTCAAACAGCTGAAAAAGCTCCAGGTAAAAAAGCACATCATGCTGCACTGGCCAACTGCGTTTTCTGCAAACCCACAACATGAGATGATCAATTATTAAATAAAGAACTTTATCTGATCATAAATGTACAGATTGGTTGTGTAAGCACCTGTCTCTTTAGACGTGAGTCTCGTTTGTTCACACACTGATGGAAATGCCCTCCCCATGCTGGATGTCTAACTGCAGCACTGCTCTCTGTGTGTCTGATCTCCAGGCCCTGGTGAAAGATCAGATGAGAGAGCTGGAAGAGCTGCGTCTGTCCAGAGACGAGGCTGTCAACGAATCCAAGGAGACCGAGAGGAAGCTCAAGGCCATGGAGGCTGAAGCCCTGCACTTCCAGGAGGTATGACAGTCATAGTGCAAACAAACCGTAACATTTTGACACCTGTCCTGACGTGGTAAAATAACCTGGTGTAGAATTTATTTTGACCAGATAACAAAGATGAGGTATATGACATCAAATAATATAGTATGGTCAAATGAAACAAATCTAATAAACCGTATGTTTCAAATGGGCAGTAGTTGTTTATTTGACGTCAATCAAGGGGCGTCTTTAACTATCAGTATATACTGTATGTGAGAACACTGTCATCAAAGGAAGCTTCTATTTGCTCCTGATGAATACAAATGATCTTGGAATAAATGGAATTGCTGCAAAAAGGGAAGCTTAATGAGGAATCTTTGTGGCACATAATACTTGCATCATGATAATGGTATGTAAAAGCACATTGGAAGGCTGGCTCTGTTCAGTTGATGAATGTTTTTTTTAAGATATCATTTTCATTTCGTTTTAATTTCTCCTGGTTATGGCCCCAACAGCCTCTGCAGTATCAGCCTTTGAAGTACTTCATATGTTTGTGTCTTCTGTATGCTCCAGGATCTTGCCACTGCTGAGAGACTCAAGAGACAGATTCAGAACGAGAGGGACGAGATCCAGGAAGAGATGAGCAGTAGCAACACAAAGAAGTATGAACCAAAAGACGTTGTTGTAGTATATAAAAGTATATGCATCCACATATCACAGCATCAAAAGAAATCCACAAGTTTGTCTCTAACTGTTGCTCCTCTTCCTCCCTCGTTGTTTGCAGTTCTCTTCTGGCAGACGAGAAGAGGAGGCTGGAGGCTCGTATCACGCAGCTGGAGGAGGAACTGGAGGAGGAGCAGCTCAACACCGAGATGGTCAACGATCGTTGGAAGAGATCCGCACTGCAGGTACGGACACGCTGCATCTCACATATGTTGATCATTGCAAACTTAACTTTTTGCTACTTAGTGTTCAGCAGAAGAGACGGGATGTGTTTCACGTTGTCAGGCCGGTTATTGTGTTATTAATGAAATGTCAAGAAATCTTTATTTGGGGGACAGAATTTGTTTGAAAAATGATTAAGTCATGTTGAGTGGACTCTATGGGTAACAGCAAAGAAACTGCCTGAGTAAGGCAACTTTATTTATATAGCCCCTTTCAGCACTCGACAGTTCAAAGTGCTTTACAAAATAAAAACAAAAGACATTTAAGAATAAATACAGCATAAACACATTATTAAATGGCATTTAAAAACAGGCATAAAAAAACAAAGATAATAAAATACATAAATAAACACAGCAGGTACAGAATACATGACTAAAAGGCATACTGCAGTGTGAGTATGAGCAGCTCAATTAACAGCAGCGGCAAATAGATATGTTTTTAGTCTGACGTGCATGATCGAGGCAGTTTATTGTTCCAGATTGTCGGGGCATAATAGCTAAACGCTGCTTTTCCATGTTTAGTTCTTATTCTTGGAACAGAGAGTAACTAAATGAAGAAACGTTAAAGGTCACCTATTGTGCAAAATCCACTTTTTCATTTCCTCTGTGTAAAGAGATTCTGAAAGTTTCATGAAAAAAGACTCGCTCTCTTTTTGTCCGGATCCATTTCTATGGATTTTCGATTTCTGAAAATAAGCTGATCAGATTTTGGCCCCATTTATGATGTCATAACGATTTTTTGGCTTGTGTAACCATTAGCCAATCACCAACCAAGATAACACCGACCCACCTTATCACCTGAATCTCCTCCTAGAGCACCATTGTGTTCTTTTTAACCAAATATCTCTCAGAGGGGCGTGGGGAGTGGCTCCTTATTTTCATCTAAAGTAACAGACCCAGAATCAGCAGTTTTGAAACGGGGCTGAAACAGAGGGGATTATGGGAAGCTACAATGATCTGTTTGGTATTTCGAGCCAAACACTTCAGAGACATGTTTTGTATATATCTGAGACCTATAATATATTGATGAAAGGGGTATAATAGGGGACCTTTCAGATGAACTTAGGGATGACTGATGTTTGACGAAGCCTCTCACGGTGTTTCTGCCCTCAGACCGAGCAGCTGACCACAGAGCTGGGTGCAGAGCGCAGCGGCTCCCAGCGGCTGGAGGGGGCTCGGCTCCCAGCTCGACCGCCAGAACAAGGAGCTGAAACTGAAGCTGCAGGAGCTCGAAGGAACCATCAAGTCCAAGTATAAGTCCTCCATCACCACCCTGGAGGCCAAGATGGGTCAGCTGGAAGAACAGCTGGACATCGAGTCAAAGTGAGTGTAGACAGTTTGAAATGCCATTTAGAAAATGCTTTGACTGACANAACACATGGTACGGTGCGTTGGACAGTAGGGGACTATCCACCTCTCAACGGGTTATCCGCCTCGTGGGGAAAGACTGCAGTCTTTTAGTTAGACATCCAGTCAGACATAGTCTAGGCAACGTCGGGGTAAAATCTCTATAACCCATACCTCCTTTTCTCTCCCAAACAAGAAGACTTTGAACACTCAAGGGCTGAGTGGCCCGTGTATCTGCATGTTTTCACGTAAAACGTACTACCAGGGGAAATTCAATGAGAATCACCAGTTCGAAATTCATTTTTGTATTCACTACAAAACACAACAAGAGACTATAGTTTTTTGTTAGAGAGAGGAGGGAAATTTCCCGACCTTTAGTTTATCATTATTCGTCTCTCACTCCTTCAAATGGTACAGAACTTACAGAGGCACAACGCGGAGAGCAAGAAGTTGGACGTCGTAGCGAGTCGAAGAAGAGGCAGGCGGCTGGTCGGACCTCCGGACGACCGCGAGGGACTTTCTTATTTCGTTTACAGTATTCAATGTACTCAAAAATTGCAATACTTTTAGTAACTGTGGGGCTTTTACTTCTCGATAGCTCTACCATCCATATCTGAAATGCAATGACCTTTACCGTTGAAGTGCAAGTCGGTTCTTCTAACAAACGCATAAATAGGTAAATCAACTTCGTTGTAATGGCCGATCAGTTTTTATTATCGGTCATTTTGTCTACGACGTGGTCCAATTGGAAAATTTTACAAATTTATACGAACATTGATGTGTATACATGGTACCTTCCGAGTTCAAATAGCTTTTTACTACTGTCGGGTCTTATTGACTAGTTGGCTTACCTACTACTCGTCTATTTTCTGTCCGTTCAGATCTACCGAAAATGTACTACACTAGAGTCTGGTAGTAAACACAATTGGTCTGTGGATGTTAAGAGAATTTTTACAGGTTAAGTATTTACTACGAATAATTTGTATGACTGTACACTGGATCCGAGTCTCAAATTCAACAAAGCCAATCCCTTGAAGTCATTGTACCTTTATATCAATAGAAATGTAAAAATCAAAATCAACAAAAAGTATAGTAGGAGGGTTTTTGCAGATTAATATTTTCCCGTAGTCACAACTACTCCTCATATAGCTTTTAATATTCACTGCACGTCTGGTGCTCGAATCCGCTCAATAATTTATAGTAAATACTTTGAAGTAAATCGGTACAACACTATTGTGAGATAACAGAAACATATAACCGACTCTAGCTCCTATGTGTCTGTGACTTTCGAGTTAACCGTCGTACGAAGTCCCTTCTCATATCATAACAGTTCACTACGTACATGTTCGATAGTAGTTCCCACATACAGTTCTCAACGTTGTACATCTCGGGTGTACAGTGTAGAACGCCAGATCACATGAAGATCAGTTATAAAAAATCTTATGTTTAAGATCAACAAGAAAGTAACAACACAGTCAGCGTTGTCAAGTACTACATATCCTAGTTTCGTACCTGAACGCTAAACTCTGCACAGGTATCTAGGATGGTTCGAGAAACTGAGCGACTCTTACAAGGTCGACAAGAAGGTGACCGAACTGCTGGGTAGAACCGGAGGTCCGCACCACTACCTCCTGAACCAATTGAGCTTGTACTTTGCCATAAAATTTGGGGGCGTGGTCAGCTGCAGCTCATTTGCCACAGAATCAGCCCTTGTGAAGACAGGGCTGGAATAGAGCGAAATGAGGCATGGCTAAAATGCATGATCTGTTTGGTATTTTCAAAAAAAAACTTCACAGACATGTTTTATATAGGTATGGCCCTACAATATATTATTCAAATATAGCATGATATGTCCACTTTAAAGTATTTTTATAATGCATGTGATTTATAAAATTATATAATAATGTTATGTGTTAAAAGTATTAGAATTATAATTCACCATGACCCTTGCAAAAGAAATTCGATCAGTTATCAGCTTTTATTAAATGCTACAATACTTAACCTCTTATGGGTCCTTGAGAATGTGTTATTATTGTTTTTACAAGTGCTTTTAACCCTGACTATAGAGCGCTGTAAGTGCTAAAAAGTCTTGTGTAGTTTGATCCGGAATTGCCGATCTGCTTTTGGCACTTGTTCCACTGTTGCTGCTCCCCACACTAAGTGAACCCTCTCTCTTCAGGCGGACAAGACGAACACCCGGATGCGTCAGCTGAAGCGCCAGCTGGAGGAGGCAGAGGAGGAGGTGACGCGGGCCAACGCTTACCGTAGGAAGCTGCAGAGGGAGCTGGATGATGCCACAGAGTCAGTAGACTGTGTGAACCGTGAAGTCAGCAGCCTGAAGAGCAAGCTCAGGTAGTTACCTCAATGTGTCCAACTCCACTAACTTAACACCAGTTAAAAAGCCAAGGAACCCAGGTTTCTCTGCTTGGTTATTAAGACTGCAAATGAAAAGCCTACATTGCGTACTCTGTATGATTCAAATAATATTTTGGGCAGGAAAATCTGTTGAAGAATACGCTTTTTATTAAGTTTCTGAGAAGTTTGTTCTACAGTTTTTCTTTAGTACTACTGCATATTTATAACAAAAATTGCCTTTTTATCGATTTATCTAATTTTGGGCTTTGCTTACACACTCATTTTCATTATTTCATATATTAATGAATACTGTATGCCTCATCCATTTCACCTGTGTACTATGTTTGTGCTGCACCTGCAAGTTGTTCAACCATTATTTCTTTGTTTTTAAAGACGTGGGGAAGTTCCTTTCAACGTGCGGCGTACCATGAATCTCACGGGGCTGGACAGTGATGATGATGTGGACCTGAAGGCTGATGTAGTTGAGCCTGCTGCTGAGTAAACAGAAGAAAGCAGAGAGGGAATTAATATAATGACCCAGTCAACATGCAGATATAGTGAAAAATGGCCATAAAGTAAGACTTTTTCTGAGAGGACTTAGCCTTGAATTCCCCTTGACATTCATCTTGTAGCCTTAATATTGTTTTCCATATAACTCATTTATATTTGGCCAAATAATCATATTCATCTCAGTTAATTATTTGTGTTTTTTAAAGGCTTTACTCATACCTTCCTGGTCTATTTTTCTACTTAATGGGTATACTCTGATAAAATATTGCGCTTGTAACAAGCTATTGCAGTTTTATTTGTGCTAGAGGTTTATGTGCTGTCACTGAACAATTTTTGGGAAAAAACACTGGACATTTTATGCTTGTTTTGCACACAACATGGGTCTTTTGGGAGTTTGGATGCAGTTACTCAGTGTTGTTCACATTTGCTAGTGTCAGTTTATCTACACTGTATGCTTTTCCTCTCACTGTGTCATCTTTTTATGATATTACCTCAACCACTTTTGTACAATGCCAACACGGACTAAACGGACATAAAAAAGGAAATTGTTCAGTTCTTCAGAGGTGGTGTATTCAAAATGCAGAAATGTTGGTGACAATGTTGTCACAAATTGTGTACCATCATTTAACTTAACTTGGTTGATGTTTCACTGGTTTTATATCTCATTCATTGTTGGTGGTGGGTCATCATGTAGTACCACTCACTGTACTATGTTTTTCTTTCAGCTATGCTTAGCACAGTAGAGGGGGTTATAAGCACATCAGCCTCTGAATAATGCATATTTTAGATTAGGTACGATACCCTTACATTGTATTAACAAACGGGTAACATTTCATATTGATGCCGATATTGTAAGGCTATTCTCTTTATCTAACGCCTTAAATGCAATAAATTGATAAATCATCAAATGTGTTTGACTTGTCTCTTCTGTGAGTTAAATCAATTTAAGTTGTTGACTGAAAGGATAGGTCTTTGTTTTTTAAGCTGTTTTAAAACAACACTTTCAAACGTATACATTATCATTCATCTTGTCTAATAGCTGTGTGAAGAGCCCTGATGGAAGCAAATCTTATTGTAAGCGATTGGGGACAGCAATATTGTGAAGTAGGTCTCTTTAGTAAGGAATAACCTATTTTGATTTGTAAAATTATTTTCAAAGCAAATAATTGTCCAAATGGGGAACACAACAACTACTGACTAAAAGACACACAGACGGCTCACATTCATAATTCATTTAAATAAGTGCTGCCATGAGGGAGAGCTGGAAGTAATAATACCACAAAAAGTATTCAAGTCTCATCAAGCATCCTAACAGTGGTCTGTGAACTTTAAATCTTAACTATATAGTCTCTCTGAGGTTGCACATTCAAATGAACAGTAATTTCCCGAGTTGAATTGCAGCACTCATACCCATTCATTTGTTTATGAAACCTACACCATTGATAAAGATTATCATTGGCCAAATGTCTCTATGCGTAACAATAGGGTTAGGATAAGATATTTCTGTTTTAAGAAGTTGTGTTGGAATTACACAGGTATGCAGGGCTGTTTGTTGTATTGAAATAGTACTTTAAGAAGAAAAATAAGACTTCTCGAGGACTGACATTGAACAACAGCGCCGCCCTGAGGCCACTGTAGGATGTGCATTGAATACAAAAAAATATGGCACCTTTGACCTTTCACACATTTAATTAAATACAGAACTCCAAAAAACATTTTATTTAACCAGAAAATATAATAGACAACAATCAGACATTTTTACTGGGAGTCAATCAAATTTCTAAGAAGATAAATATAGTCTCCTAGCCAGTTGCAACACCCCACGGTAACACAATTGCGAGGTAGGAAAGGAAATTATGGAGGTTTCTCGTGGAAAACCTAACCGCAAAATTAATACTTTCTATTATTATATTTCTATACTATATTTCTCTGTGCATTAACTATTGTTCACATATCGGCTTATTTTCTAACTATTAGTGTGTGTGAGTGTGTGTGCGTGCGTGCGCGTGCGCCGACCACTGGAGGTGAACTTTGTAGCTATGAGCTAACACTCGCAGCAGCACTGCAAGCAGCGATAACATCAGTCAGGCTCTGCTGTAGGACATTTATAACTGCGGACAAAACTGTCTTTTTACTAAAACGGCTTTTAAGGCTCGACCCGCGTCAGGTCATTAACAGGTTTCGTTTTATTGAGGAAGAGAGCCATACTTAAGTTAAACAAGTTACTAGAGTGAGCTGCTAGCTTTGACGTTAGCTAGCTGACGAGCTTTGCCAGAAAGTTGTGTTTTAGGCAATTCTAAGATTGACTAAAACAAGACTATTCAGAAACGTATGCAGATAGCAAGAGTAAAAACTAAACATGGGGTTCCTGGTGCTGCCAGGTGTGACGATCACCTCCATCATCCCTTAACACACTTCAAAGTCAGGTAAGAAGAGCTAGCATGCTAAGTAAGCTAGGTAGCTAGTGAATGTGTTTTTTTCCCATAACAAAACTGTCTCTCATACTGGCAGCTTTTCGAATTTCATACTAACACGTCTCTACTTTTATATCTGACTAGTATTCTGCCTGTCAATGTTACCCTATCCTGAGAGGCTCATGTCACCCTGCATGCACTTTAGCATACAGCTAATTAGCTAAACTAGCTTGCTGCTACAGCTCCTGTGAAACCACTTCATTGTTTTTGAAATGTGACCTATGGCTGCCCTTTACTTTCCCAACGTTCAGTATCGTCGGCTGAAATTAACTAGCTCCAAAACGGCAGCACCAAGGGAGAAAGTGGAGCCAGCTTCCAGGTCAAAGATGGAGTTAGCAGCGGTGAGTGCCCTGCATGCTGCTGTTTGTTATGAGTGTCATAATGCAGCCACTGTACTTACTCAATCTGTCAGTAAGAGGGTAAATTACCACCTTTTTTATTGGCATTTATGTATTCATCCAAGACAATAAAAACAGTTAAAATACGATACGATAATACTTACTTTTCAGATCGAGTGTCTTTCATCACACCAGCTCCAGTTGCAATATCAACAAGGACACATATTTAAGTCATGATACAAGGAAACATACATTTAACATAACATTACAATCTCTGAAGAGAAACATGCCCAAGATTTATGAATGAACTACATTTGAGAATTGACTGGTGCACAAAAACATGCTGTCTAACTATAATATCGTGGGAATCTCATCAATTTGATCTAACAATTCATATTCACTGTTCAGGACATGGTTTGTGTCAAGGAGGATGTTGTCGGCCAGCTTACATATTTTATTATGGCGTGTTGATTCATTAACCCTCTCAAAAGGTTGACCTACAATCTTTGAGCCGAATTTCAAAAGTTTGACTTTAAAGTCGTGGACAAGCACGTGTAGGCTACCATGTAGTATTGCAATACAGTAGAACACTCAGAATAACAGATGTAAAAAAACAATATAAGTATATATAAAAAAGTAAAATGCTTCCAATTGTAATGCTTATCGTATGTGTGTTGTTGGGACCATACAATAATATTTGAATCGGCAGTAAAAAAAAAACAGAAATACTGAAAAAAAGTACAGTATGTAATAATTATTATTATTATTTCAATAAATATGTCAATATGTAGTAAATATATTGACATCCTGATATTCAATTCCACATTTATTTACTATATATCAAAATGGTTACACAGTAAATAATAGAGATAATCAATTTATAAATGTGTTTATGGATTAAGTCACTTGATTGAAGTGTCTCCTGTGAATTAAGTGACTGACAAACAAGAACAATTCAATATAATGACAAAATGCTTATTAAAATCCAGCATAACATCCAGCCTATTTATTCACAGGGCATTATGGAATCATGCAGGGTTTTATTCACTTGATTTTGCTGAATTGTTGCACACACACAAACAAACACAGAACCACTTCATGACTCATGCGGTTTGACAAAGATGCATTTTAGCAGTGAGCTTTACAGGGGAGGGGGGGGGGATACAGATGTGTTGGTGTGTCTCTGAAAGATAAAGATAGAAGCCCATAGAAAAACGCGGGCTGGATTAAGCTCCTGCTTTGGCGGTGAAACGGCGGGACGACCAAAAGCAGCAGAAAGCCATTGTGGGTCGGAGAAGAAGAGAGAGGGATAGAATTGGGGGGGGAGGAAGGTTTTGGATAGAGATGGATTTTACAATATGCTATTTGAAATAGCAGCTTCACAGAGAGAGGGAGGTGACAGAGGGCAAAATGCAAGGGAAACAGGATTCTCAGAGCCGAGCCCCCGGCATAAAGGTAGGAGTGTGTGTAGATATACTATATCTACATTCAACATATTGAACGTTGTGTCAAAAGCAGACAGCCTATTTATGGTGGTTTATTTTTGTTTTTTTGAGCTGTAATTGTGTTTCTTGCATTATTATTATTATTATTATTATTATTATTATTATTATTATAAGCATTTAGTTTTCATCGTTTACTTGTTTTTTCTGTTTAACTGTTACCTTCAAATGTTTCTGTCCATGTTTGTATCTTATGTTTATCCATGAGGCATGTGACTAAAGATAATGTCTAGTCTCAGTTTAATTTGACCCAACAGTGTGTGTGTGTGTGTGTGTGTGTGTGTGTGTGTGTGTGTGTGTGTGTGTGTGTGTGTGTGTGTGTGTGTGTGTGTGTGTGTGTGTGTGTGTGTGTGTGTGTGTGTGTGTGTGGACTGTCTCAGCAAATCTCCATCATTTGAACATGACCCATGCTCTGTGCTAACTTGTATTTCTTTGGAATGGAAATGCCATACTAGCATATTAACATTCAAATGGAAATCCTTTATATGTATATTAGATAACATTCATTATTGTATATGTGGGGCTTATTTCTGTAATGAGAGTCTGGCATTCAACAAGAGGTGACCAATGCCAAGAGAGAAATGTGACTTAACCTTTATGTTTCTCTTTGCTTCATCCTCCACTGTTACCCCCCTTCCCCTTCTTTCCTGCTCCACTTTTTGGCATTTCTTTCACCCGTCACTCCTCTCCCTTTTGTCCTCTTCTGTCTCTTTCCATCCCCCTCTTTTGTAACCCTGTCTGTCATCATCCTCAGGCCCACCCAGCTCTCAAAGCCTTTATGTGTGGCTCTCTCAGCGGCACCTGCTCTACCCTACTCTTCCAGCCTTTGGATCTGATCAAAACACGACTGCAGACCCTGCAGAAAACTGCCAAGCCGGGGTGAGACTACACGCATGTAACACGCACACCTCATGTTTTTGGACAACATGCAAACACACACTACGTATTTCGTCTGCATGTCATCGGACGACTGTACATGTCCCCGCCAGGTCTTGTCTTTCTTTTGCTATTCCTGACCTACTCACACACACAACATGCTCCTCAGGGACACAATCCCACATGCAAATACACAGCATGGGAGGGACACAATTTGCTATCAGTGCTGTGCTGAATCTGCTGGTATGACCCATTTAGGGCAATTAGTCATACCAGCGTGTAATCAAACTGTCAGGCTAGGACTCTGCAATTACTCCACTGGAAACAAGAATCGGAAATGTAAAAGGCTAAAAGTGGATTTTTTATTTAAACAGCGTTCCACAGGTGGAGGCCTTAGTTCACATTTTCAGAAGATAATATCTGTTAATTGGTTGTTTAATTGTTAATATCTGATTTATTTTTCACTCTGAATATATGTTTTTTCACACCTTCAAATATTTTGTCTGCGTCTGAATGTTTTTTCACACCTTCAAATGTTTTTCAATGTCATCCTGCAGGGCACCAAGGGTGGGGATGTTCAACGTTTTCATCAACGTTATTAGGACAGAGACATTCTTCAGTCTGTGGAAAGGAGTTTCACCAGTGAGTAACTGAAGTTTTTCATTGTTATTATTTACAAAAGAAATCTGCAGTCTCAAATGCTGTTGTTTTTAAGCGCCAGACCAACATTAGGCCAAAATAAATTGGTTCTTTCTTAAAAGAAGAAGAATTCATGCTCTGATTATCACTGGTGTTGGATTTTTATTTTGAGTTAAAGCTACTATCACATTAAGCAAATATAAGAAATGCTTATTATTATTTTTCTCTCTCTTCCAGTCATTTGTGCGCTGCATCCCCGGCGTGGGCATCTACTTCAGCACCTTCTACTCCCTGAAGCAGCACTACTTCCTGGAGCGCTCGCCCAACGCTGGAGAGGCAGTTCTGCTGGGAGCGGGGGCCAGAACCGTGGCTGGCGTCAGCATGCTGCCCTTCACTGTCATCAAGACGCGCTTTGAGGTGAGCGGCAGTTTCTTTACATACAGACAGACCTCATTATGACCTCAATGTCAGACACATGTTTAGAACAAGTGACAATAAATCCAGGAGAAGTATTTAATGAACACCACAAGAAAATAAGCTAATTTGTGTGGGGATATAGTCTTATTTTGTAGTGATGTGCATGTAGTAACTATCTCATAATGACTATTTCAAGATACAGTATTAATCCCGGCTACAAAGTTCTGATCAAAACTGGGGACACAAACTTCAATGAGCAAAGAACGCGAGAATCTTTTTAGATTTTTCTAAAAAACGTCTGAAACGAGGCAAAAAGTAATAATTCTTTTGCTGCAGTAAAAACAGAAGGGGTTATTTAAAACAGCTTTGTAATTGAAAGTAATTGAAAATAAAGTAGTAGTAACTTAAATCTCTTGTACTTCCTTCATCTTATGTCTTGTGGAGTTGGGCTTAGTTCTTGCTGACATGCTACTGTTTAGCCTTACATAACAAATGTTGTGAACAGTGAGTCTTTGAATTATCTGTGAGATCTTGTACCCAATAAATCACCCTTACACTAGGATCCATAAATGAATGACCACCATCTATAACTTGTAGTACAGAGCACTCTTCTTTAACACTGTAAAAAAGGCAACGGTATAAATGAACCATATTAATGTTCCTTGTTCATACGTTGTTTTAGAGTGGTTGTTACAACTATGTGAGCGTGACAGGGGCTCTGAAGAGTGTGTATGAGACGGAGGGAGTCAGGGCTCTGTTCTCAGGCCTGACTGCCACGCTGCTCCGAGACGCTCCCTTCTCCGGCATCTACGTCATGTTCTACAGCCAGGCCAAGAAGGCGCTGCCTGAAGGTGAGAGCACTGCATCAGCAAATCAAGATGGAGGTCATTAAAATGTAGAGCATGGTTTTCTCTAGCTGCAGGTAGTGAGTGCTGTCCTTGTACTGCAGAACATCATTCAAGTGTATAGTGAACGGTTTAGTGCTTTCACATATTTGGCCTAAAAAGGTTTCTGTGCCTATACTGTATGTCTTAAACCGAGACAAAAATGTATTTTCCCAGGTAGTCAGCAACACAACGTGGGTTGAAACCACACGTTTTTATCTGCAAATTGCATTTTATAGTAAGTAAGTAAAACGTTATTTATATAGCACCCTTCTCAACACGGATGTACAAAGTGCTTTACAGTACTGTACACAATTCACAGTACAACTATAACATGTAGAATAAAAGGCATAAAACAACAGCAGGCAATACATAGGATAAAAATACGATAAAACACCAATAAAAGACAGCCACTAACTCCATATATTATACATTATATCCATGTCCTTTAAAAATGTAACCACTTCTTAATTTAATAATATTAGACATTTGTGTGTAATGATCATAATTAGCATATACAGTCTTGTACGTACAGTTACGTGTTATATGATGTTTCAATGACCTTTGGACATTTGTTCCTAATTTGAAGAAATCAGAATCTTTCAGAAAATTCAGATGTTGACCGCTGCTTTAATTGTTTTAATCACAACAACACGTCCAGAGCTCTATTGTTTGTTAAATATGTGTCTCAGAGGTGAGTTCGTCGGCCTATGCCCCGCTTGTGAACTTCAGCTGTGGGATGGCGGCGGGCGTCATGGCGTCGCTGGCCACACAGCCGGCAGACGTGGTGAAGACACACATTCAAGTCAGCACGTCCCACTGGAGCACCACTAATGCTATCTGCTACATCTACAGGGTGTGTGCTCATTAAATTACCGCTGTCCATTTTGATCTTACTGCATGTGAATGTTAATTAGAGAAAAGTCACACATATTCTTGTTGGCAGGAAAGATGAAGTTTGACCATAAACACACTGAAATGTCCTGCTCTGTTTTCTCTCAGGAGCACGGCATGGCCGGGTTTTTCCGCGGGGCCGTCCCGAGGTCTCTGCGACGCACACTGATGGCCGCTATGGCTTGGACTGTCTACGAACAGCTAATGGCTCGGATGGGCCTCAAATCCTGAAGAGCATCAGTGTCAAACAACACTGGATGGAATAATGAGTGGATATGGATTCACATTATGTTCTCACTGAAGGCCCCATGACAGAAGAAACAAGGAGCTCGTAGAGACGATGAGTCGGCACTCCCAAGATCTTTCAGAATAGGAACCAGGTGGATAAATGAGAGAGAGAGAGAGAATGCTGTGACTGAGTTGTTGTTGATATTTTAAATGTTTGTGAAAATGTGCCTGTTTGTGTCTGTAAGTATGAAATTGTGATGTAACACCTGACATGTCCACCTAGGGCTGAACGTGACACTCCCTGCTGTGAAGTGAAATTATTCCTCATCTCAATATTTATGTTTTTTCTGGCTGCGGCTTAGAAAAGATTGCCCTTGACATTGAGGGGGTGTGATTGCTAGTGACTCGCCAGACTGCACCACACATCTGCTGAGCCAACCAAAAGCAAATCACTGCAGTGAGAGGGCTCCGGCCTCTACCATATTTTAGGAACTTGCATGAGATTGACCAACCTTTCTTACTCGCCAATTGTCAAGCAGGCTCAGACAATCATAGGTACTCACCCTGCTGCATTGTGGGAAGAAAATCACAATAAAGCCTTTATTGCAATGCTGCTTTAAACTGTGCCAACTTAAAGTTTAAACACACCTGTGATGCATTGAGGGACTCAGCATAGTCAAACCAGATGTGCTTTTTTTTTTTAAAGGCTTAGGAGATGTAGCAGAACAAATATTCAGACCCGTGGCAGCATTTCAGTCGGTTCATGATTTTTGTAATTAAAATGCTTAATTATTTTTTGGGGGAGGCATAAAAACACCAATGTTTACTTGTATTTTAAGTAAACACTTGAATAATTTGACCTCTTTTTATATACATTAAGTACATGTTTTAATTCCTGATTCACCTAATTTATCATATTTGCAGAACATTTTACTTACAAGTAAAGCATTGCTTACTCACTGTGTTTCTAAAGGTGGTACAGAATATATCATATCAGTGCTGGAGTGAACCTTTACCACCATCTTCCTGGCTTTGTACATATTTGACTAAACACGGTATTACAAATGAAAAGTCCTATTTTTGTGTTCATTGTACAGTCTGCCTTTCACTATAAACATTATTTATTGTAATTGATATAAAAAGAGGTGATATATTGAAAATGATGATTATGGTGTTGATAGAAATAACGCCTAATGGAAAATCTCACAAGAAGAGGGAAAGACTTAACTTTATTTTGGAAAATGGATCATTACAAAACACACTGAAGCTTGTATTGATAAGATGACAGAAAGGCTTCTAACGTCTGGGTGATCTGTGATGAAAGGAGCATGCAAGGTTGTGAAGCAAAAATAACGACAGTAGTTTTCGGTGTTTACTGTGTAACACAAACAGTGTTTCTAAATGTGATGTGATTCATACCTCGTGCATAAACTTCATCATCTCTCCGTTGATCCTCTGTTGTGACTATATTGTTTATGGTCATTGTTATTGTAGACATGTTGTCTGTGCATGTGTTTGCTCAGACAGACGCTGTGCCTGCCTGGTTTTTAAATGTCAATAAATTGCTCTCTTTTAAAAAGAAAATACATTGATTTTTCTTTATTTTGACATAAGAAAGAAAATTGACTTTGCTTTCTGATGGATTTCTCTACATTTCTTGATAGCAAGCGTCAAATCAACCATTCCAAACAGTTTCAACCCGGTTAAGGAGAGCATGCATGTTACTTTAAAACATTGTCAGAGCCACTAGACATTCATTTTGCACAGCCAAAACCACCAGCCATAATATAATATATATATCTATGTATGTCAAATATATAGGCCTATATCATGTATTAAATATAAATGTTACACAAGAAATATATCAATGTTAAACAGTTATTGAGGTCTTAAAGCTCTACTCTATAGAATGTTTGTACTTTTTAAAATGGATTGGTTTGAATAATTATTAAATAATACATTCATTATTATTTATTTATCTTTCAATAAGCATTCTCAAAACCTTTCAAATAATATTTTACGAAATAAGGTTGGAGGATTATTAGATATCGACCCGGCACTTTAGTTTCTAAATTCACTTAAAATTCACGCAAACAAGATGCGAATTAAAGCTAAAATCACAAACAAAAACGTTGTCATGGTAACATTGCCAGTTTTAGTATAAAGTTAAACTAAAGTCCTGTAAAAAGACGTGTATTATTTGGACTGAGCGTTTTCAAACAAAATCAAACATTTCACCTGCAGCTACTGCTAAAACCTGAAATATCATGAATGAGACCTAATAGCAGATGAAGTTGAGTTTTTCCTTGCAGTCCCAGTTCTCCCACAGTCCCCCTTTGGTTAAAGCTCCACAGGGTTTATATATTGGACACTGGTGGTCCTGGTCTCCTTGGGGCCAGGCCTCGTACTGCAGAGGGTCTCCATTCACCCGCAGCCAGTGGTCCCCCGGGTAACGCAGGCCGATCCACACCGGCTCAGTGATGTTGTCGTGCTTGATCTCTCTCAAGGCCAACAGGTGCTCGGTCTCAGAGGTCAGGCTGGTGAGTGCCGTGTGATTCTGTTTGCAGTGCATCATCGCCTGCTCCCAGGTCGCCTTGTACTCAGACACGATCAGATTGAAGCATAAAAAAGGCCAACGACGGGTTAGATGGACATTGTGCCATTCATTAGTGCAGCTGGGCACACAAACAACAGCAACTGTCTCCCGGTCTAAGTGATCTGGTTGCCCACCAGCCCACGGTAAGTATGTTGCTTCTCCCGCTCCAGACCACATCCAGGTTGTTCCATTCATGTAGAGACCAACAAAGAAATAACCGCTCAGTTTCCCGTTTGACGCATCATTTAGACTCTCTTCCTCCCATGGTGTAGTGATGGGGGTCAGATCAGTGTGATGATCTCTGCAATACTGTTGAGCTTCAGGCCATGTAGCGTCAATTGCTGGATAAACATGCTTTCCAATCTGCTCAGACACACACACAATAAAGAGCATTTGAAAGAAGAAAATCTCCATGGTGGTAAGAGATAATTGTAGAGACGAGTACAAGGCGTGATGTGTGTTGAAGGGGAATCCTGTGTTCAGTGTGGTCCCTCTGTTCTCCCTAATAGGTCAGTGAATGCCTCCTGCTGCTGAAGGAGTTGTTTTGCATATAAACTATGTATACTTCAAAATGGGTTGAGACATAAACCATGTGATTAAAACATCATTGGTTCAACTATAGATGGGAACCTTTGATGCCTGTTAACCCTACTCTCTCCCCATGTTCCCCAAAGAAAAAGGAGTTGTAGAAATCACACTAATGAAGCAAGCATTAAGACAAAGCTGTGGATTTACGTTGAAAATGTACACTCATTTGACCTTTTGTCAAGGTTGTGTGAAGCACAAACTCTACATGTGATCATTTATACATGGACTCCCCCCATATACTTTTGCTAGACTACCAAATGTGCCTGAAGTGATGTTTTTACACACTTTATTATGTTGTCACTTATGGTTTCTCAGTACAGCAACTTTTTAGTCCACTGAAGTGAAATTACATATAAGCATCCAGTTTTGCTTAGAACTGACCAAATCTAGAAATGACTACATGTTGGATCATTTCTGACATACAGATATTAATTTAAAGGTTTGGCCACTGGTAAAGATGAATGTGTGTTTATGAGGATTTAGATCAAATGTTAAGCAAATATATTGAAGGCTAGGGATGCAACTTAGTGTGTGTCCTTTGCTGGTGCTGCTGCAGTTGATAATGAAACATATAGATTGCCTCTCATTAAATGATCAGCCTTGTGGTGTCACGGTGAATGTCCCAGCATGCAATGAGTGGAAATGTAGATTTCTTACTGAGGAGGGCGCTTGACCCACAATGTCAATATTATATCAATATTGTGATATAATAATGGGATTGTCTTTCAGTTTTGATATCGTAATATGAAATACAAAGTGTTGTCTTTTCCCGATTATATACGCTGCATTATATTAAAGTGATGTACTTTTTTTAAATGACCAGACTGTTCTAGCTGCTTTATGGATTGCCTTTATCCTCCTAGTCATTATTCTCACATTTGTCAACAATTATTCCATTTTTTTCATGCACAAAAGGCTCAACACTTTATCGTCAAAATATCAATATGTAATCTTTATGGAATTTAATAAAAAATAATGTGATATAAAATGTTTCCATATTGACACCCAACACACACTCAAATCCAGCACCAGACACTTTTTACGCTGCTATGGACAATCTTTCACGAATGTACATTTCCCAAAGATTTTGAAGTGACTGTTATATTGATTGCAGTGGCGAACCGTGTCTATCACAACTGGACCTGACACAACCCCCGCTGCCGATCATTAAGTGCCTTGTAATTTCTTTTTTTATAGTTTCACTCCGTTTGAATGTGGACTGAAAATAAGTCAATAAAGGAGCATGGCTTCTCATCCCCTGGCTCTCAAAAGAGTTTGGCTGGCTTTTTAATCTATGTTCACACTGAGACAGTACAACACATAGAGAGAACAGTGCACCTATTGTGTAAGAACATACAAGCAGGTCACACAGTAAGATCACAAATACATAAACTCTGTTAAAAATCAGTTTTATTAAAAAGTACAGGCTGCATGTTCTCAGCCTTGGAGAAACTTGACATGTTTTGATACATGTGTCTGAACCTCTCTTTAGCTGGTTCATTAATAAAACAGATATTTCAACGT